TATTATAAAGTAATTAAAAAAGCCCACAATATACAATATTCAAATATCAATTGCTATTGTGGACCAGCGCATATTATATTAACCTTAGCAGACTTCATGGGGACGGAAAACTTATGATAATGAGGAAAACATGCTTAAATTGCTTTTCTTTGATGGATATTAGATATAGGCGCCACATCATTTTGAACAAAAAATTTTCTTGTAAGAAAGAAAAAACATGTTCATCAAGCATACTAAATCTGTGACGTTAGATAGCATAAACAATTATCTAATTTATGCTTAGAGAAAGTTCCTTTGTGTATTAGTTTTTAAGACGTCTTTAGTTGTTGCCATAGAAAAGTTCTCTTTGTATGCTGTTTTAGGTACTGGCACACGCATTACTTGACTAGTCATATGTAAAACCCAGTATACCTTAAGTACCTCATATTAGGGCTCTTGAAATAGAGAGTCCTATTGAAGATCTCAATAGTTGAATCCTTATCTGCCGTTTACACGACAAATATCCAATTAAGATGAGTGAGGAGTTGAGTAATCATTACTGTCCCAATCGGATTACATGTCAAAATTTTCCGTGCTGCAGTCGCTTATATGAATATACTTCACTCATATGCTGATATATATCACTTGATTGTTCTCCTTTAGGTGCTCATCCAAGTGCAGGTGGCGAATAATGTTAGAGCAATTTTTCAAGTGCTGGTTAATGATGTTGAATCTTACAATGATGGAAGAGGGTGTTTTGAAATTAACCACGAGTTACTTGGTAAGGGTTTTCTTCGTGAAACAAGACATGTTCTTGGCAAAATCATTCTGAATACTATGAATGGCGGAGTAGTGCAAGGAGAGGAGGCTGTTGAGGGTAAGAAGCTCATGGACACTGTTGGGTGTCAACAAGAAACCGTTGTCAGCAAGCAGAATGAAGGGTCATCTCTAAGCCATTTGATAGCTCAAGAGGTGTTCAAAGATGATAATAAGAGCAGTCAACCAGTGTCAAGTTCTGAATTGCTTGAAGTTGTTGATGAACAACAGAAGTTGGATGGGGGGAGGTGCAGTTCTTTTGAACAAAAGGTTGTTGCGAAGGAAAGAAGGGGCGGCTTGACATACAAATCCAAAGTAACGGTTGAGGAATGTCAAGAGTTTGTCAAGGCATTTCAATCTTCGTCCAGAGAAGTAAATGTAATGAAGGGGGAAAGGTTGAGGATTAATGAAATCCTTATGGACATGAAGGGCAGACCTAAACAGCGAGTGAAGTCAGTAAAGCGGCGTTCTTCAAAAATTTCAGCATCTAAAAACCAGCTGGAGATAACTGAGAAGTGTGAATCAACCGCTGAAGACGTGAACAAGCAGGAAAATGTGTTGATCGTTGAAAGAGGTTTAAAGGAGGCAAAGCGGAGAAAGAGAAAAATATTAGTTGAGGAGGAAAGTAGTAGGCCCCTGCTATCTGAAATTTTCAAATGAGAACAATGTCGATGGAAATTATAAGGAAAACCAGGCTCCTGCTTTGTGATGTCTTCAGATGAGAAATTTTGTAGTTGTAGAATACTCACAGGAACAGGATAACTCATAAAGTCATAATGGATAACTGACTAGTTAGCTCCCGCTCATCTTATGTGTCTTATTCCTCGATTCCTTTTTATGCATTTATAATATTTTATACCTATTTAATTGCAGGTGTATATCGGCATATTGTCAGGACTGTGCTGGCCCTGAGTTTATATTCACTTCAACAGCATCAAAGTTTTTTTGACACTTCCAGTTCCAACTCTTTTGGTATTTATTACATCAACTGCAGAGCAAATAGAGTATGCGAATTTAGGATGCTTAAGTGCGATATATATTAGCCTGTGGTGTTTCCCAAAAGGGCTAGTCTTGACACAGTTCTTTGCTGCTGCTGGTGGTTTCTGATCATCTTCTGAAAGAGGCATTGTAGAAATATTCAACCTGTACGTTTAGTCCAAACACGGTCTGCTTCAAGTCACCGAATTCTATTACTGATTCTTGATTGGGTTTTTTGCCACCTAGGTGGAAAGTGAAACAAGAAGTAAGGAAAATATGTTAAGGATTGTTAAGTTGTTTTACAGGTTCTACTTTCCTCGGCTAAATTGCCGATTGTGAGAAGCGTGTCCATACTTGATTGTGTGGATTAAGACGAAGCTCATTTCGGTCGAAATAATCCGGGCAAGAAAAGGGTTGGAAATAGCCATTGTTGGTGAAATCAAGCAACAGGAACTTGATAGACATGATAGTTTCTCTAGGGAAATGACATAAACAGTCTCTGAATTTTGGTCAAATGTGCAATGTTGTCTTCAGACTTTTGATTTGTTCTTTATGGTTCCTAAAGTATTGGTAATTGTTCAATCTAATCTCCAATGGAATTTGCTGATTATAGCTTTGAATCGGTTATTTTTAAGTGCTCAACAAAAAAAAAAAGTTACACATAAATTATCAATGTAAGATGTTCATATCAATTCAAGATACAACAGTCGACGATACTTTTTTAGCAAAAAAAAAAAAACAGTTGACAATACTAAATAACGATAGATATATTAATGTCCTATTTTTTATTTTCCTTTTCCAAAGTAGATGGATAAAAAATGGATATGTCAACTCACTATCATCAAATAACGGTTGTTTCGTCGTCTAATCAAACATAAGGATTACATTGAATATTTATCAGTAAATTGATGACCACATTCAACAAATTAAAAATTTAAAGATCATGTTGCGTGTTGAGTCACAGTTCAGAGACCATTTGTGTCATTTTCCCTAATTTCGTTTCTCCCTTTCTCGTCTTTTCTGATATGTTGATGTAATATGCTCTCTCTCTCTCTCTCTCTCTCTCGCAGACATCAAAACTAAGGTGAAGTAGGCATGGTTAGAAGACAGCTTCTAACGAGGGAGTCAAGTTTGATTTGAACTCCGCAACGAAGAAAGATGCTGAAAAGAAATCCCGCAAAGTCAAGTTTGATTTGAATTCCGCAACGAAGAGAGATGCTGAAAAGAAATCATGAAAAGTCAAGTTGCCCTCGGCCAGACATTGATGATCAACTCATAAAATTTAACAAGTTTCGATTACAAAAGTTGGAGATTCCAACAACTTGACAAAGGAAAGTGATTCTGTGTAACATGGCCACTAGTTTTGATTTGGGTGCACACGTATGAAATCCATGTTGAAATTAAAAAGAGTTAGTGTTTCCGCAATATTCATTATTTATGATCATTAAATAAATGTCTGTTTCTTTTCGATTCGCTGATTACTGATAATATGAGATAGATAAGTGCGTCGAAAAATGATAATTTTTTTTTAGGGTTAATATCTCGAAAAAAACCCCAAACTAGTATACATGTGACAAATTTACTTTAAACTAATTTTTTGATTACCAAAAACCTCAAACTGGTATACTTGTAACAAATTTATCCCAAACTAATTTTTTGACCATCAAAAATCTCAAATTGGTATATTTGTGATAAATTTATCCTCTGTTAAATTAGATTAATATCACGAAAAACCACAAATTGATAAACTTGTAATAAACGGAGGGGTAAAACCGCAAACTGGTACATCTGTTAACTGTCACGTGTCATCCAACTTAGCAATTTGACGGTAAAATTTAACGAAAACTAATGGAAGGTAAATTTGTCATGAATGTATAAGTTTGGAGTTTTTAGTGGTCAAAATAGTTTTGTGGTATTAACCTTCTTTTTTTTTAATTGTCCATTTAATATGCGCGGGAGAGGACCTATTTCTGAAAATGCTGGAAAGAAATTGTCCTTTTCCTGATTTCCTGTGTGTCACATGTGCGCGGCCCCTAACATTTGACTATTATTTAGTGAAAATTCTGCAATTGGGATAGATCTTGGAGTGCAAGGAAAGGCAAACTAAATCAAAAAGCCCATCCTGAATGCCCCTTGTTTGCCAGCGACATGAACTTTCAACACTCTAGCAGTAACATCCAGTAATTTGACTGTCTCTAAGATGTTTAATTTCCTAATTGAGATCTTTCCACCTAGATGTGTATAGGAAAACCAAAAGGGTCTTGCTGATGGACGTCATCGGGACACTCGTTATGCATATTCAATGAGAAAATATTCAATTTGCAAAGCATTGGTTGTGTAAAGGACAATCGGTGCATTAAAAATTATAATATTTTTTAATTCGGCTATATATCATATGCCCTCCGGATGTTTTTCTTTTTTTAACAAAATCCATTTTTGAGTGTAAGACTCAAACTCGATGAGAGTGCGAATTGTGATTACCTTGTCGATAAGTGGAGGACTTTGTTGTTGTCGTTGTTTTTTTATGTTTTTATTTTTATGTTGCTAAATGTATTGTCTCACTCTATGTAGGTTGTAGGTTGTAGCAGGAGCTGTCGTGTTGTGAAGTTATTATAAAATCAATGTAATCAAGCTTTTTCAACCACGGCTCAACAAGCATATTGGAAATTCGATGTGGTCTTTTAAATGGTTTTTATGTGCCTTGTCCAAATAAGTCAAAATTTAAAATCTTGCATTTTCTTTTCCCGATTTTGAGTTGAACCGGCTCCGAAAATTCTGTTAATTTAGGGTTCTTCTAGCTCTAAATAGCAGTTAGAACTTAATTTTTCTAAGCAGATTTTTATGAGGAAGAAAATTTCTTTCTCGATTCTCACCTAAGATCACACATAACCACCTTCAACGGATAACTACTGGTCGAGACCCCGAGATTGAACTGGCTCTCTAACTTAGCATTTTTCTAGCAGATGAAAAACGACTCACTAATTTTTATGAACTATTATTATATCCTCCCTTTGGAAATTTATTCATGGAAAATGACTCGAATCTTCACCAACTCCTTACATGGATATTTGTGCTGCAAATCAAAAGATAAACAACATTAAAAACAGTTTTTGCTATAATTGGTCTGTCCCTTCCTTTTGCCAGAATATCCCAAAGATTGATTTATACTCTCTCCCCTATAAAACACCATTTCCTCCCAGATCCGCCCACCCACCCACCCACCCCCACGCATCTCTCTCTCCCACCACCAAGATCCGCCCATAAAACCTACCGCCACCGCCCCCCGACCGCCGCCATGGCAGCCGCCGCCGCCGCCACCCCTCACTCCCTCCTCCTCAAGACCGCCCCCTCCACCGCCGCGGCCACCCCCAGGACCGCCTTCCCCGCCGCCGCCCGCCTCCCTCCCGCCGCCGCCGCCCTCAAGCCCGTGTCCATCAAATGCGCCGCCGCCACCACCCACGTCCAAGACCCGAGGCCGCCTTCGCCGCCGCCGCTCCCCGCCGCCGCCGCCCAGGAAAGGGTCTTCAACTTCGCCGCCGGGCCTGCCGTCCTGCCGGAGAACGTCCTCCTGAAGGCCCAGTCGGAGCTCTACAACTGGCGCGGATCCGGGATGAGCGTCATGGAGATGAGCCACCGGGGCAAGGAGTTCTCCTCCATCATCCAGAAGGCCGAGTCGGATCTCCGGTCCCTCCTCGAGATCCCCCCCGAGTACGCCGTCCTCTTCCTCCAGGGCGGCGCCACCACCCAGTTCGCCGCCATCCCCCTCAACCTCTGCACCCCCGACGACCCCGTCGACTACGTCGTCACCGGCTCTTGGGGCGACAAGGCCTTCAAGGAGGCTCAGAAGTACTGCAAGGCCAAGGTGGTTTGGTCGGGGAAGGCCGAGAAGTACACCAAGATCCCATCTTTCGACGAGGTCGAGCAGGACCCGGATGCTAAATTCTTGCACATCTGCGCGAACGAGACGATCCACGGCGTCGAATTCAAGAACTACCCTGTTCCGAAGAACAAAGGCGGGCTCTTGGTGGCTGATATGTCCTCGAATTTCTGCTCCAAGCCCGTGGACGTGTCCAAGTTCGGGGTGATCTATGCCGGGGCGCAGAAGAATGTCGGCCCATCCGGGGTAACCATCGTGATCGTCAGGAAGGATCTGATCGGGAACGCTCAGGGGATCACCCCGGTGATGCTGGACTACAAGATCCACGCCGAAAACGCTTCGCTGTACAACACGCCGCCCTGCTTCGGGATCTACATGTGCGGGCTCGTGTTCGAGGACCTGTTGGAGCAGGGCGGGCTGAAGGAGGTGGAGAAGAAGAACAAGAAGAAGGCCGAATTGCTGTATCGGACCATCGACGAGAGCAAAGGGTTTTACAGGTGCCCGGTCGAGGCGTCGGTGAGGTCGCTGATGAACGTGCCCTTCACGTTGGAGAAGTCGGAGCTGGAGGCCGAGTTCATCAAGGAGGCCGCGAAGGAGAAGATGGTTCAGCTCAAGGGGCACAGGTCGGTGGGAGGCATGAGGGCTTCAATCTACAATGCCATGCCTTTGGCTGGTGTTGAGAAGCTGGTTGCTTTCATGAGAGACTTCCAGGCAAGGCATGCGTAGATTTGAATCCACAATTTCCATGGACCGTGGATTTGAGTCTCGTTTTATATAGAGTAAAGTAGTGCTTAATCATTTGCTTTTTTCCCCTTTTTTCTGTATCTTTCCTGATGTCATGTTGTTGTTCTCTGCGGATTGGAGGGTGGAAGGTGAGAAGAAGTTGGGTTCTGTCCTGGTTTTTGGAGGGGAAGTTTTTGGATGTTGTGGTTTCCTATATAAGCCAAGAAACAAAGGGTTGGAGAAAATTTTTGGCTGAAAGCAATTACATTGTTGGAGGTCTTGATTTGATTGTACTAGAATTGCAGAAATAAAATGCAGACTGGAGAAGAATTTCGGCTGAAAGCGATTGCATTGTCTGAGATCTTGATTTGATTCTAGCATTGCAGAAACAAAATGCAGTCTGCATTTTGGAAGGACCATTCTTGAATAACAGAGTATATACGGTAGTTTCTCATAGCTCCCCCCCGTTTGATCTTCTCATGTCTCTTATGATTTTGTTGACACGAATCAGGATTAAGTATGGACATTGTTTGAAAAGATGGTTTTAGGAAGTTCTCAAAACTTTTTCTGTTGGATCTAAAGGAGGAATGTCTTGACAGAAGCTGAAACTTATGCATCACTCACCAACTCACTCATTCAACAACTACAAATACGAATCGTCAAACCACTAGACATCATGAAATTGGCAGGGACATTTGGCTAATTGCATGGCTAATTATATAGGACCCACAGTTGTTTAGTTTTTCTTTACGAAGATGTTCACTTCCGGTCCTGGTTAAATTCTTTACCGCCTATCTGTATACTTTGTTTGAGGTTCATGATATATTTGACAGATTACAAATTTGAAGGTAGGCCCATCAAACGGGTGGGTTGGGTCGGGTCGCGAACGATCGGACCCAATTTGACATGTTTAACCCGTTTGTTTTGACCCATATTAGGGCAATATATATTTAGTGACTCATACCTGACCCGATCCATTTAAATTCATTCGGGCAATTTGGAATTCAAAACTTTGTGCCGTGATAGCAATAGCTCATTCATTTGAGCAATATGACGAGGAGATGGGCGATTCTCTGCAAATGAGAGTCCGATTCAAATTCCAAAATACCATCACACCAGAAAATTGCAAATCCTGAATTCGCTCAGCTAATCACTTAGAATGAGACATGTCAATTAAAAAAGATTACTCGACTTTTGGCTTAGTTCGCTTAGATGTCTTGGGGGAGAAATAGAATCTAGGGATAGAAAGGAAAACAGTTTACCGTATCAAAATTGGCCCACACTTAGTCGAGCTATACGAGCTTTCAAAGCTAGATTCTCTAATAAGTCATTTCAACAAACACTTTACATGCAACCAAACTAATCTCATCTAGCTCTCCAATCACGTACATCAAATCATCCACTCGCTACGTGCCTCAGTGGCAGTAAATGAAATAGCCCGTACAAACACCACAATATTGCTGTCGAAGTGGCAGACGACCAAAACATTCCTCCCCTGATGGAGCCAGCGAAGGAGCTCGCGGCACCAAAACCTTCGAACCGAACCCTCTAAACCTGAATTCAAGCAAGCTCGACTCGGTTCTCGGACTACCATCGAATCTACCAGCTGCAGTTTCTGTCGAAGCTCCTCATCAACATCGGACGGTGAAAATGAAGACGAACATTAAGAAGAAGAGGAACGATGACAATGAAGTGAAGAATTGCGATCGGGAGTTTAGAGTAAATGGTAGGACGGAGGCAAAATCGGAGATGGCTTCGCTGTTCTTCGCAGGTCGAGAGTGAGATAATAAATGGGTTGAAAAGTGGGTTATTTTTAGACCCGTTATGACCCATTGTTAGTTGGGCTTTATTCTATTAAACCCATCATAACCCATATGAAAGTGGGCTTTATTCGCACAAGCTAATCAGCAGGAGCTCAAACATTTCACCTTGATGCTCGAGGCGCGAGAGGCTACTATACCTGCCTACCCAGTAGTAGTAGCTAACCTTGCGACTGACGTGAAGTCTACCTTCTCCACCCAAAGTCCCCCTAAGTTCCCTCATGTTGTTTTTTTTCTCGGGAGAGAAGGAATACGGAAAAAAACTTACGGGCAAGAACACTCCACTATATTGAGGAGTTCCTTCCCCAGTCTTCCCTTGAGCCTTTTAAGGCCCGCTTACAATCAGGTCAAGATATAATAAATGGGTTGACAGTGGGTTATTTTTGACACATTGCAATCCATTATTAGTTGGGCTTTTTTCTGTTAAACCCATCCTAGCCCATGTAGCACCCAACTAATAAAAAATGGGTTAAAATACGGGATCATGACCCATTTCGACACCTATACTTGAAAGGAAGTTTCCCATGATATAGGTTGAACACTATCTAATCAAAGACAATTCGGTTAATTTGAATCTAGTAATTTCAAGATGAATATGAGAAGAGTAGAATCACATCAATAACCAAAGCGTTTTGCTTTCTCTTCCTGTATAATTGGCTTTATTTAATCCCATGCAAACTTTCTGGAGAAACAAAGGTTAAAAGAACCCGATGAGAAAATCCGTCTGTACTGACCATCCAGCAGCAGCACAACTAACCAGAAGTCCATCCAAAGCAACTCCACTCCCTTAATTCCTTGAGATTCAAGAGAAGAGTCCTCATGCTGTAATCAAGAAAACCTATCTAACCAGTCGAGTCTTCTTCCCCAAACCCAAGCAGTAGTGATTAAACTTTCCCTCGAGGCGGGACTAGTCTTTCCCGAATCGGCCTCTTTGTTGTTTTTGGGCACTCAAAGTAGCTCTTTGGCTGTGATTTTACACCTCCGGTGAACCCGGGGTAGCTCTACTCCACCACTCACAGTGTAAGTGCCGGCCATCCGCCGTCGACACGGCAAGATTGGAGGACGACGAGAGTGGTCAGGTTTCCATTTCTTGTCTTTACCATCCGCCGGTGTCGTAGGCGCCATTGGGAGTCCGAGTTCAATACTGTAAAACAAATCATGAAAAACAACTAGTCCAGCCTGCTCGCAGAAAATTTAAAAATGGATGTCATATAGGTCATGATGGTTTTTGCAAGAGTTGATTTCGGCCGGACGTGTCAATGTAAATAAGAGGACATCGATGATATTGTATTGTTGAAAACATGGTGAGCGACTCGGTGTCGAGAGTATCGAATTTACTAGACATTCTCTCGGTCGTAGTTTTTGTGGAGTCGTTATTAGGATACCATGTGTAAATTTTTTTATTTTCAAATTATTTGCATATATACTTGTATTTCATTTATGTTTATTTAGATGAGTATTTTTCATTAGCCTTCCTCGATTGTTTTATATTATTTCCGATAATTGAACTTAAATTAGTTTAAATTTTCTCTGAATATTTTCATAAAAAAGGAAATTAATTTAGTTGAAAAAGAAGTCGGGAAAATTATCAAAAGTCTTAAACCAATTGTAATTGTGTCAATTCGGTCATAAGCTTTTTTTTTGCCAATTTAGTCCTAAACATTTTGTATTTGTGTTAATTCAGTCCATCGACCAATTTTGGTCCGCCGGCGTTGACGGGGAAAATTTTTAATAATATTTTATTTTTTTCAATTTTTTTTTTCTTTTCTTCCTTCTTTTCTTTTTTTTTTTTCCTTTGTAGTGGCCGGCGGCTTCGCGGCCCTCGCCCAAATCTAGGTGAGGCCATGGCCACCTTCGCCTACAGCCGGCAAGGCCCCGGTGACGCGAGTGAAGGCGGCCATGGCCTCGTCAGCTGAGGGGGAGGCCGCCTTTGCCTGCGATTGGCGAGGCCTGAGCAACGCAGGCGAAGGCGGCTGTGGCCTTGCCAGTCGAGGGTGAGGTTGACTTCGCCTGCGGCCCCCAAGCCTCGCCGGCCACCGTGGGGGAAAAAAACGAAAAGAAGGAAGAAAAGAAAAAGAAAAGAAAAATAACAAAATCAATAAAGAATTCGAAAAGATGAAATATTACTAAAAGTTATCATCGTTAGAGTCGGCAAGACGGCCTTTTCAATAGACGCGATCTTGCTTAGAGTTATGAAGTGATGTTTAAAAAAAAAATTGTAAGTGCACTGAAAGTCCTGGAATTTTATAAAACTTTCAAAAAGTGCAATCAAATCTTAAAATTTATTCGCATTTTCCATTCCTTAAGGTGATCGAAGTTAATTAAAAGACTTGATACGTCAACTTGAAAACTTTTATGATTCAATTCCACTTTCGTGATAAATTTTATAACTTTCGGTATACTTAGCCCTATTTATAAATCGCCTGTTGCTTGCATAAAAAAAAAAAAAATTTCCAAGCATGCCGATTAAGAAACTCGTCCTGTTGCGGTGGACCCCGGTAGTCCCTTCCATGGAATGAAAGGGTCCAATCGAGCGTGGAGCGACCAATATTTCTTATTTTATCCCCCCCAAAAATTAAACAAAAAAAAAATCCTTATCAAAAAAAAAAATTTAAACAAAAAAAAAATTCTGCATAAAGAAAATTCTCATTGACCCAAAACGCCGCGCGTTTCACCTCCGCCGTTGACTCCCTCCCCCAAACCCCCCCCCCCCCCCAAAGAGCCCGACACGCTCGATCCCCTGCGGCGCACTCTTTCGTACCAATCATGCTCTCGCCCGCATCAGCCCTCCGATGCTCAGGTCCCTCCACGTGGCACGTACATAAGCCCCGTTGACCACGCCCCCGTCTCGCCCCTCTTCTCACGCTAACGCTCTCAAAATTTTTATTCCTTTTTTTCCAATTTTTTTTCCGCTCTTACTTTTCAACTCTATTATGTTATTGGAAAAAAAAACACAAAAGCAGGAAGAAGAAAAGAAATATTCATTTTCCGATCGCGAAATTCCGATTCTCCTCCCAAATCGCGCGACGGTCCGCCATCGACGTCCACCTCCGAAGCTCCGATCCTCCCGGAAAAGAGGGGCGCGCTCTCCTCCGTCGTCGTCGTCCTCGCCGGAAACGATGGCCCGGGCCTCGATCGCGTCGTCCCTCCGGCGCCTGCTCTCCGGATCCAGCCCTCCGCCGCGCGTCGCCCCCCTCTCCCGATCCGTCACCTACATGCCCCGGCCCGGCGACGGGGCGCCGCGCGGCGTCACCCTCATCCCCGGCGACGGGATCGGCCCCCTCGTGACCGCCTCCGTCGAGGAGGTCATGTCCGCGATGCACGCGCCGGTGTACTTCGAGAAGTACGACGTCCACGGGGACATGAAGCGGGTGCCCGAGGAGGTGATCGAGTCGATCCGGAAGAACAAGGTGTGCCTGAAGGGCGGGCTGAAGACGCCCGTCGGCGGCGGGGTGAGCTCGCTGAACGTCCAG